GGCGAGAACAGAACAGAACAGCAAAGCCGGAGACCCACCTGTCCGCTCGTCGAGGGAGATGTGCACCCTCTTGCCCCCGCCGTGGAGCGCGAGGTTGGAGTCCCCGAACAGCTGCGTGTAGCCCTCCCCCAAGGAGAGGGACGACGTCTCCGACGGGGGAACAAGCTTGCCCGTGGCGGCAGCAGCTGACAGACACGCCGCCGCCGCCAGGAAGGCTAGGAATAGGAAGGAACAAGCCATCGGGCTGCACTGATCTCCGCTGCTTGCTCTGCTCTGCTATGCTCCGCACACCGCGCGCTCCCTGTTCTTCGCTCTCTGTCCCTCCCTAGCTAGCTTTTAAATGGGCTGGAAAGGAGGGCAGCTTTTCATGCGCAGGGTGTGGAATTGGGGAGCTTGGCGAGGACTGTGAGGACATGTATGATGAGCAGCTATAGCTCTTTATTGGGAGCTGCGCAACTTGCACCGGCAGCAGTGAAGCGTTGTAGTACTGTACTACGTACGGTTTGAGCAGTGTGCCGTGGCCGCGGAGGTCTCATCCCACAGCCCTATGTGGCCTAGTATGCGCTGCGCATCAGAGAAATGCTGGATCTTTTTCTCCTGCTCCTCCATCGTCTACAAAAAGAATGCAACTACATTTCGTAAATACTATTTATATTTACGATTCTAAAATAATTTATTATAAAAATACATTTCGTAATTATTCTAATAATATTTATTTAATATTATAAATATTAATATATTTTTATCTATAACTGATCAAACTTAAGATAAAAATCATGATACTGAGTTAGAATTGTATTATTTCCTGCATAGAGGGAGTACACTACAAACCACATCTGAGTACTGTACCTAGCTGCACTACTCCAACGTCTCGCTGATTCATCTTCGATCTACCCAGCTCTCGCTCACGCCTTCTTCACTGTAAATGCGTGTTTGCCTAACGCCGCTGTGACTGTGATGCGCCTGCGCGAGGATTGTATGCCTGACCCATCAGATTGCCCGAATCCGGGCGCCACTTCCATCCCTCCCGTTGCGTCAAACAATGATAGCACACGCGTTTGGCATTTGACATTTGGCAGCGAGCGAGATCTTCCTATCCACGCATGCAATGCAGTGTCTCGCGCTCGCCTAACAACTGTGCAAATCTGGCCCGGACGCCCGGTCCATGTCTGCTTGACCACCAGCGAGCCCTTGGGCCTTGGTTCAAATCAAAACCAAAACGTGGGTGGGCGCTGCCAGCGCCAGCTGATCGGACAAGATGCATTCGGATCTGACGAGGCGGCAGCAGAACTGATAAGGTAGGTACGTGTACAACCAACTCCGCGAACTCGAGGGGATTCAGTTGGCTGCCATTGATTGTGCGACGCTGTGGCGCGCGAGAGCGCCGGCAATTTAGGGGGATCGACGCACGCAACGAACTGGGAGCTCAGGACGGGAGGGACCATGCCGATTGCCGCGCCATGGGACTATGGGAGGGATGGATGGGCGAGGAAGGCGCCGATGAGGCGGGCGGATGACGAGCCTCCATTCTATTGAGTGAATTCAGATGGCCGCCGTGCAACCGCATGGCAGGCTCCGCTCAGCTGGAAACCCAGGAAGCGAGACATGTAACGTCCGCGCTTCAATGCGGGATTGATTGCCGAGCCGGCCGTTGAGGCGACGAAACGAACGGAGGGCACTCTCTTTCCTGATTTCCTCCCTCCAATGGCTGGCTGTGGCTGCCTAGCCTTTTCACCATGGTCCGTCCATAGATGGATGGATGGTCACAGTGACGGAGTGTCGTCACTCGTCAGTAGTAAAAGCGACATGTGATTAAACTAGGCGTTGGTAATGGCCGGCCGGTCAGCGGCGTGAATGCGGTGTCTGGGCCTCTGGGTCGGGACAGCGACGAACCACACGCCGCAACGCAAACACAACCGGAGCCGGCCGGGCCCCCAGCGGCGCCAAACAACCGTTCGTTCTCTTCCCGCCCTCCCGCGCGCGCTTTTGGACCATCTGCACGAGCGCTGATCCCGGGGCAGCAGGCTGTCGCGGCCGCGGTGAACTGGCTGGTGGCTGCCCGGCTGGCCTCTAGCTTTCGCCGCGCCTCCAGCCAGCGGTTCTGGGTCGCCGTGCCGTGCCGTTCGATGATGGGTGGCCCGCTAGCTCCTGCTTTTCTGCCGCGCTCTCGCCTCGTCGCTCCTGCGCTGATCGCTACGGATGCAGGCCTTTTGGTGGCGTGCTGAGCTGGAGGCCTTGTCCGCGCGTGGAGCTTTGCTCATGGCCGTTTCTCCCTTTCGAGTAGTGGTGCCTCCAGTCACGGCCAGGTCTTGTTCGCTAGCGGCTGCCGCTATCCAAGCCACTGTTTCCACTCTCCTCTCTCTTAGTCTTAGCACCAAAGTGCAAAGGAAAAAATAGGAACAAGTGTACTGGTAACTTGGATCAACACGAGTCGTTCCTCCTATTCTTTGAACAGTTTCAGCTCAGCCTAAACTCCATCCAGGCAGAACTCGACTGTGATTTTGTCACTCTACTAGTATTCTCGTGGAGCGAATCAACAGGTTGCCCCTGCCAACTTCGGTGCCGTTGAGTGGTGGGCCGGCCCGCCGTTTCGTAATGGACTAATGGGTGAGTTTGCCCGCATGGGCTGGGCGCCTGGGCACAGGCTGGCATCTTAGCCCAAACATATTTCTTTTTTTTTTCGGCATGAGGTATGAACGGAAATAGTACAAAGTTTTGTAGCAAGTTCAAGATAAAAACAACAAGTAGAACGCTAGAAGCTACTACCCCATGGAAACCGATGACCTGCTTCAAGTTCCAGATTTAACATAGGGGGAACCGAGAGCTAAAGTTTACTGAAGACTCTATTTCATTACAACATCACATAACGAAACACCAAAGACAGTTAAAAAACCAACTCTGCAACACCGGCAAGGCGGCAACTTGTACATCGGGTCATCGGCGGCGGCTCTACCCGTGCCACAGCTGTGGCCTCCTAGTCGAAGGGATGGCTCTAGAGCCTTGCTACAGAATGAAGGAAGCCATGAGCGAGGATTCCACTTGAGAGAGCATGGACCGCGACTCCATTTGAAGAGCTGAAGACGTGGCAAAATAAGACGCTAGATTCCTTGGTGCACATTTCGTCTTGTAAATAAAAAAGAAAAGATGCCGAACGGGCTTTGAGAGTATTGCATATAAGAAAAAAGAGAGCCCTCTGGTTAGTTTGGGCCATATATATGTTCCCTTGTTGCTCCTTGTAATACGTTTTTCTGCTGGAAGCCTGGAACAGGTAGAGCGGCGTTGGCGTAGCTTAGCGGCATTTGGAAAGCGAGCCAAAGGTCGCTTTGCAAAAGATACGATCAAGGCAGCGGCGGGTCAAGGCGCACCAACGCAGAATGACCGAGCTTTGGAGGAGTCGAGTGGAGTTTGATCTTTACGGTAATAATACTCCTCTCCTCTATGGAGTGGAGTGGAGGCATCGGCAGCGGACAACTCTCAAGGAGCTAGTCGGCATCCAGGAAGGAGGGGAAAGAAAAGAATCTTCGTTTCAAGTTGAGGCACCGCTCCGATATGATGCAGCAGTAGCACTAGCACCCGCCACCCGGGCAAACAACACTCAAGCATCGAGCTGGTGGTGATTCGGCGGGTCCTCCTGGGACACGTACGCAGCACACCGATGGGATGCTCCAACAACTCCCAGTCAGCAGAGAAAGGCTGGCTGAGTCATACGGAACCACAGCACTACCGAGAGCATCAGATGCCCCGACGACGCGAAACAATACCCGCTCGATACAGAGCGCTACCTGCAGTAGTACGATGAAGCGCGGCGTGCGTCAACGGATGGCACGCGCGCGGCGAGAACGGCTTGCTTGCGAGTCGCGACACAACTGGCGCGCGGCGGTTGGGCGGCTCTTGGCTGGTGGCGTTGACATTGCGACGCCGGCAGGCTCATGCCGTGAGTCCGTGACGACGCGGCCACCCGAATTTTTCTTCTCGCCAACGCCAAGCAGCCGGGGCCGCCTTTGCTGGTGTCCTCTGGCGGGCCGTTGTCGGACGTGTTCCACAAGGTGGTTAGACGGGCGCGCGGGTGCCATACTACCTGGGACGGCAAAACTGACGACGGCCTTATCGTACCTAACCTTACCGGCTTAGTAGGCCGTAGTGCATTGCGTCAGTGCTGCACTTGCACTCACCACGGACAAAATCATCACACGCCTATACCTATCTCAATTCTCACGGCCGGGCAAGAGATATGTTATGAAATTCGAGCTTTTTTGCTGCCGATCGATTGCTTCTGCGTCGGCACTCCACTCAGACCGGCACGCCTCGCCGTTTCTCTTTCTCCCGACTCCCGTCGCGTGGGGTCGTTTCTCTCTCCCGCCCGCGAGAGGCGAGACTCCAGCAAGAAGCGGTGGTTCTTGTCCGAAATCACATGCGACTTGGCCTTTCTCCCCCCTTTTTCTCCCGTGCACCGGTCTACACTCTACACGACTACACGGACGGGTGGATAGGTTCGGGCTTTGCGGTCACTACTCACACTAGTCACGAGATGCGTCGAAGCACCGCCCGGTCCACAGTGCATAGACGAACTCTCTTCGGCTCTTCTTCGATGTCTCGGTCAAACGCTAGAGCGCCATGCGCGTCGTCGACTCACTGTTCCAACGGGGAGCGTCCGATTCCAACAACACGGCGACCAGTCGGCAAAACAGCCGAAACCGAGTGAGAGACGCCGCCGCGCCGCTTTGAACCGTGGACGCGCTAGGCGGTGACGCCCCCACATCCATAGCTGCGCGGGGCCCACCCTTCGAAACAAAAATAATATAAAACACAAGACAAGCGAAGGGGGAAAATAAACAAATAAATCCAATCAAATCAAACCCCATTTCCGCGTGGCGTGGGGTGCTGCGGCGTGCAGAAGTCAACCGAGCGCAGCGCCCGCCCCGCTCCCTTCCCCTCGCCTTCCACGCCGGCCAAAAAAGAGCGACCGAAATCCGGCCGCGCCCGCCCCGGATCCAGCGACGATGTTCGGCGACTCCGACGGATCCAAGGACGCCAGCGCCGCCGCGCCCGGGTCCAACCCGCCGGAGCCGCCCTTCCCCAACCGGGAGCTCACGCTCAGCAGCTACCTCTGCGACAAGGCGCCGCCCGCCTCGGCGGCGGGGCCATCCTCGCCGCCCAACCCCGAGGCGGCTGCTGCCCCGGCCGACGATGCCGCGGCCAACGCCAAGCTGTGCGTCGAGCGGGATTTCCTCCACCTCTCCGCGCCCAAGCGCGGGGATCCGCCGGGCGACGACTCGTCCGTGGTCGGGGCTAAGAAGCCCCGCCTAGACTCGCTCCAGCTCTCGCTCTCCCTCTCCAACGACGCGCCCGCCCCGCCGCCGCCGGCCTCCCAGCAGCCGTCCTCCTCCCTGCCTCCGTCGCAGCTCGCGTCACTCCTCCCGGTCGATGGCGATCTGCGGGGCGGGGGGAGCGTCGCGACCGCAGCCGCCGCGGTGCCTGCAGCCGCGCCTGTCGCGCCGCCCCCCAGGCGGACCTACAGCGCCAACACGGGGCGCACCCGGAGCATCAACTCCGACGACATGTCCTATTCCTACTCGGTGTTCTCGCACAACCCGAGCTGCTCCCTCACGCACAACTCCACCGACATCTACGCCGCCGGGGAGGGCACCAACGGCTCCGTCCACAGCCGGTTCAACTTCCGCCCCATGGGGGACGGCAGCGTCGCCTTCGCCCCGTCGCAGCTCAAGGAGGGCACCTCGTCCTTCTTACCCACGGAACTTCCCGCCAGGATGGTACCGCCAGCAGCGTCACTCAGCGCTGGCGGCAGCTTTGACGGCAGCCGCGGAGGTATGCACTCGTCACGCCCTGAGAGGATCTTGCGGGACATCGTGTCGGACCCTGTGCCTGCCATGGCTCAGGTCCTGCAGGATTTTCCCAGTGAAACCCTGGAGGTGCTGCGGGAGACTGTGCGGAGCATGATTGATGCTCCGGAGAAGAGGGACGAGCTGTCAAGCCTGCAGCGGAAGCTGGACCGTCGCTCGGACCTGACTGCCGAGGTATTGGGGCGTGCTAACAAGACGCAGCTGGAGATCCTGGTGGCTATCAAGACTGGTATGGCCACTTTTGTTACTGGTAAGGGCCGAGTTTCGAGCAGCGAGCTTGTGGAGATGTTCCTACTGACACGGTGCCGCAACATGAACTGCAAGAGTGTCGTCCCTGTGGACGACTGTGAGTGTAAGATTTGCTCCACCAAGAAGGGGTTCTGCAGTGCGTGTATGTGCCCGGTGTGCCAGAAGTTTGATTGTGCTGCAAATACATGCAGCTGGGTTGGATGTGATGTCTGCTCCCATTGGTGCCATGCATGCATGCGCGCTAGAGAAGAACTTGATAAGGCCAGGGCCGACACTGAAGGGGGCGATGGGCACAACTGAGATGCAGTTCCAATGCCTCGGCTGCAACCATGCTTCTGAGATGTTTGGGTTTGTTAAGGAGGTGTTCAATTGCTGTGCAGAGAACTGGAGTCCTGAGACGCAGATGAAAGAGCTAGACTTTGTTAGGAAGATATTTGCAGCTAGTGAGGATTTCGAGGGGAAGGGGCTCCATGCCAAGGCAGAAGAGGTCCTCAGCATGCTTTTAAAGAAAATCATTTCCCCTTCTGATGCGACGAAGACCATGCTACAATTCTTTAAATGTGAGATCTCTCTTCCTCCTTTACACTCTAGCATGTCATATTACAAGCTTGAGTTGTCTAAATGCAGTGCTGCTTGCTTCTACTAGCAAAATAATGTACGAACTTTACATTTTTTAACTTGTTAGTCATAGGTTCTTGATCAACTATATCAGTTACTACCTCTGTCCGGTTAAGAATGCAATTCTGGGCCCTATTTTGGTTTTCGTTTCCAAAGTTTGACCGAATATATAGGTAAAAATATTAATATTTGTGACACTAAATAAATGTATTATGAAAATATATCTCATGACAAATCTAATGATGCTAATTTTGTGTCATAACTATTTATATTTTTTTATATATAATTGGTCAAACTTGAAGGGCGGGCCTGGTGCAAGCGGTAGAGTCTTACCGCCTGTGACCGGAAGGTCCCGGGTTCGAGTCGCGGTCTCCTCGCATTGCACATGCGAGGGTAAGGCTTGCCACTAACACCCTTCCCCAGACCCCGCATAGAGTGGGAGCTCTCTGCACTGGGTACGCCCTTTAATTGGTCAAACTTAACAAACTAAAACATTGCACTGTGCTAGAATTGCATTCTTTTGCGGATGGAGGGAGTAGATGTTAAGTTACCACCAGTGATTTCATGAGCATTTTTTATGGCATTGCAGTCACATTTCTTTATATATTTCCTTCTGCAAGTGTGCTTTGTCAGTCCCATTCATTTAATCAGATGTCATTTGGTTGTCCAGTTACTTATCCTTCTGTGTGGTGCAATCGCTGATACAATTCTTATCTAAAGCTGCGATGTTTAATGCTGTTGTATGGCAACGTTCTTGCTAAAAATATGAATTCTTTCATCTAGAACATCTCTATCATAAGCTGATAAAACATTTGTACTAATGATCTTCTAATTTTCGTTAGTCCAAATACCTTCTCAATCAAAAATACATGGATGAACTAAACCAGGGTTGTTAGGAGCTTGAGGCCCTCTGATTTTCTTTCATGTTGTCATCTTTTATGTTAAGCACATTGTAGGATCCTCCCAGATACAACATGCTCTTTTTCTTGAATGCTTGACCACTAGACTTCTAGTTATGTCAACAGTTACATATGTTATTTGTGAAGCAAAGTATACATATTGTTGAAAATAAAAGCTGCCGCTGACTAGCTGTCTCTGTATGTTGTTGTTCAGTCACATTTTGTGATGCATTAGAAACCAGATGCCATTCTATATTAACAATGCAATATACTTGTGCAATTCGTTTCATAGAAATTATCAGATGCAGTATCTTGAGCTAACTCGTTCATTTTGACAGATGGTGTAACAGACTATTCCGTTACTGGTAGCAAGTCAAAAGGAATACTGGCGGCTCAGACGAGTAAATCTACAGATATGCTTCATCTTCAGACCCCAACCATCACTCCACCAAAATCCTCATTCAACTTCAAGCCCAGCATCTCCATTCTTGATTCACAGATGGATGTGCTCAAGGCCAGCCCAAAACCACTCTCTATAGAACCCCATTTCAGCTCCAGCTCAAAGGATGAAGACTCCTCCAGCCTTGAGACCATTGTGAAGTGCAAGGAAGCTGAGGCAAAACTGTTCCAGAAACTGGCCGATGATGCCAGGAAGGAGGTAGACAGCTACCGGCAGATCGTGCACGCCAAGACCCAGAAGCTAGAGGAGGAGTACGCCACGAAGGTGGCAAAGCTGTGCTTCCAGGAGACGGAGGAGAAGAGGAGGAAGAAAGTCGAAGAGCTGAAGATGCTTGAGAACTCGCACTACGACTACCACAAGATGAAGCTGCGGATGCAGACCGAAATCCAGGGCCTGCTCGAGCGGATGGAAGCCACAAAGAAGATGTGGGTATAGGCTCCAGCTAACAGTTGTATGTTGCTGCTGCTGAATTATTTTCGGGTATAGAGTCCAGCTAACAACTGTCTGCTGCTATTGCTGAATACCTAAGATTTGGTGTTGTTCATTAGGAGAGATTGTCCATTTGTTGTATTTCTTCACCATCTTGTGTTATAATCTATACCTGCTGTTGTAACTTGTAAGTGGATGCCTAGCCTTGCGCTTGCTGATATAACTTGCCAGCATTCAGTTAGTGGTTTGCCAGTTTGTGCTGCTATATCATTGCAGATTTTTTTTTCCAGATACGCAGATTGGAGTTGTTAGTTGTTGGGCCACAACTCCGACGTGTTGCCCCGGTGCTGTAGTAGTTGGCATCCCCATGAGAATGTCCCCGCGCCCTGCTCGTCGTCATCGGTCTTGACGAATGCAATAGATTGACACGATGTATTATATCGCCGCGCCGGATCAGTCGACAGTCGTCCCTACTGTAGTATACTCCCTAAGCTACAAACATACTGACCGTTCCATTTCAGGATAAGACTAAACCAGAGAATGGTCCCGTGATAGACAGACTACTACACTGCAGTCTGCAGTGTAGGCAGCCTGTGGGGCGCGTACAAAAACCAGACAAAGAAACCTTATCAGTCAATTGCCACTAGTGGATTGGAATCCCTCGAAGATTTGCCTCTTCAGTCGGTTCCCTTCCCCCTTGATCATATCTTTTGTTCACGGGGCCACGGTGGGCCACAGCCATTCCTGCAAGCTGCCGAAACCCTCGAACCTTGAGCACATCGCCGGGGTGACCACCGGAACAGTTGACAGCCAGCACAAGTAGCAACTCCAGCTCGCAAGTTGCAGGAACAACTTCTGTTGCTGCCGGTTGAGGAATCATATGGGATAGCCAAGCAGAAAAACAGAAAGGGTATTTACTATGTATTTCGCCGCCAAGTTCTCTGTTGGCCTCGGACAAGCACTAACCTCTCGCTCACCGTTGCGGCTTGCGAACGCCCGGTAGCGATGGCGGCTGTCGCACCGACGCCGGCGGCGTGTCCATTTCTTGCAGCCATGGCGCATTGTGTTTCACAGTTTGAACGCGTACGAACATGCAATACAGCAATAGCATAGCAAGATCATTGAACAAAGAGATATCTCGAGCTCTTGCACATCCAACTGCTGTACAAAAATTCTTGCACGCACGAAACAATAGGAAGAATCTGGTCAAGCAAGAGACCGATCAGCGTCAGACATGGGCTGATCAGTTCAAAGAGAAAGAAGGGCGACGAAGAAAGAAACAGCCTGACGGATTAACCAGTCTAGTCGACGGATCAGTTCACACTTCACAGCCTGAGCGTCAGATCGGGCTCATCCCGGGCATGCACGGCGACGCCGCCGGCCGAGTTCAGGGCTGCGCTCCCCGCCGGCGCAGCGGCGGCTGCGGCGGCGGCTGGTCTGAAGCTACCGGGCCAGCCGAAGCTCATCTCCTCGTCGGCCACGAGGAATGGCATGGGGCTCAGCAGCCCCCGCGCGGGCCTCCTCAGCTCGGCGGCGGCGCCGTCCTCGTGCCGCTGCTGCTCCGAGTGCGCTGCCGTCGACGCGTGCGCCTGGATGCCGATGGGGTACAGGCCGGAGCCGTACAGCGGCAGGGACGCCACGTCGGCGTAGTAGCCGTAGGGACCCGTCGCGTCGAGCCGCAGCGCGCGTCGGGCCAGCGTGCGCTCCCGACGGTGCGCGTTCTGGTGCCCGCCCAGCGCCTGCGAGCTGAAGAACTTGCGCTGGCAGTAGTTGCACGTGAACACGCGCGACGGCTCGCGGGCGGCCACCGCCGCGTCGGCCTGCACGCTGCCGCTGTTACTGTTGCTGTTGCTGTTGTCGGTTGTGCTCGACTCGGCAGCAGCGGCGGCGGCGACGGCGACGGTGAGCGAGCGGTCGAGGCTGACCAGGCCGGAGGAGTTGGACGCCTCCTGGCTGCTGATCTCGGACAGCTCGTCGCACGGTTCTTGGCACATCTCCTTGCTGTTCATCTCTGACTGATGGCGACAATCTTTTCACCCGTCACTTGGTTTCTCTGTCTCACCTGCATGCAGACAACACACCAGCTCATTCTAGTAAGCACTTCTGTGTGAATGCCTCTAATAAGAATAAGATGCCCTGATCTAAATATCTAATCACTATTCTTCTGTGAACATGGCAGGTTAGGTAAGGCAGGAACACAGATGCATGGATTCATGATTAAGATATGAAACATGCTTTGTGTTCAAGGGTAGAGAAAGCAACTTTATGAGGTGTGTTCATGCACAAAACTGAGGAAAATGAGAATCCCAGTGGTTTCAGTCGAAGTTGCACTCATTGGTTTGCCTACTAGTATGCAGATTGGTGATCATCAGTTTATGACTAGCTTCAGATAAACCAATGACAAACTGATTATTTGAAGATGGGGCGTGTCTAGTCAGACAGCCTTGTGGATAAAAAGGATGTTGTCTCAAATGATTATTTTGGCTGAAATTGCTTGCAGCTTAAGTGATCCTCAAGATGGGCCTTGTTTGTCCATATGGACTAGAGGATGTCCATTGAGTAATATTTTGTCATGTGTCAGTAGGGAAACAAAATTTGTGGTTGCTGAATTACTAAGCTAAACCACCTTTTTAGAGAAAAAGAATTACTGAGCTAAAGAGTAGGCAGTGCAAATTGGATGCAGATAATAACGTAAAGAGCAAACAAGGGGAAGGGGAATCTTAGCCTATTTCCAGAGTGCTCGATTTTGTGTTCAATAATCATGAGAAGCATCTGATTCATTCATAGGCCTGGATTTGCTAGTTTCAAATTCCATGTCTGAAGACAAACATATGAAAAGCATGCCATCTTTTCTTGTCTCAGAATATCTAAAATCGAACCTTATCTAATAGTAAAGTCCAAGAATAGCAGCATATTCCGTAGTTGTCAGAAAAGATGGGAGCTCTGTTGTTCCTATCTAAACCACATTAGTTTAAATTATGTTGTACTTTAGGTTAATTAACCTGCTCAGAATGCACCACCTAACCTTGCAGTTAAATTTTAGTGTTCTCCAGATAATTCCACTAGTTCATAGTAAAACTGTAAAGGTTGAATAACTATGCCAGATTACTAACAGGAAAGACCTCCGCTGGTATTTTCTGCATGTAATCCAAAATTTATTTGATGTAGCTACGAAATTACTAGTTGAAAATTCGAACAAGTTGAAGCACAGTTAACTCTCTTAGACAGAGTGCTGCAACATAATGTCAGCAAATTTATCTTGTTTTGGCTTGACACATTAGCAAAGCATCCGGATCAGAGATTAATCTAATGTCGCCAAGCATAGCATGGATGGAGACAGAAATATCTGGACAAGAAATATATACTATGTTACCTTACTCATCAGCTGCTTCTGGTACCACTAGACCCAAAATAATATCAGGACAAAAAACATGATGGAACTTAGACAAGACTAACATGCAAGCATGTTTTAGCATAGACACTCAACGAACAAAGTGATTTCATATCAGAATTCCACTGCCATGTCTATTAACTCGATGAAACAATCTTGGGTTTGAACGAATCATGAGAGCAAAATTTTTGGGAGAGCCTAACTAGTCTAAGATCAGAAGGATCAAAACTCTTCAGGACCCAAATTCTACTAGAAGTACCTTACTACCTTGTGGTCCAAGCCAGCATGCCCAGAGAGAGAACTAGCTATTCAGAAAACCGAGACGTCGAGAAGGCTACGATGAACACGAACTGCAGGAGCCAAGAACTCAAGAAAAGCTACCAAGAAACAAGAGAATCGCTGGTTACGGCGAAGGCAGAATTACCTCTACCACCCAGAAGCAGAATTCCGTGCACCGCTTCACTCCATCAGAGCCAGGCCTGAAGAAGACGACGGTGCCAAGGAACCAGCAGGCTCTGCTCAGGCCATGGCTATGGCTCCTCCTTACCAATTGCCCCTTATGCTCACCGAAGGGGGGGGGCGGAGAGAGAGACTAGTGTGTGTAGAGAGAGAGGGGGAAAGTGAGGAAGAGGAGAAGGGGTGAAGTGGTGTGGGGTAAAGTGGCACCCCCCACTGGCACTGTGGTGTTTGATTATGGAAAACAGCAGAGGTTTTGTAAATTACTGGTAGGGGATGGATGTAGGACAGTGATGCCGTGCTGCTCATCTCATCTCACAAGTCACAAGTGGTGGTAGTACAGGCAAACCTGCAAAGGGAGGGGAGGGGATGTTGTATGTGTGTGTGCCTGCACTGCACTAAAGATGCACCAGAATATTATTTGTGTGTGTGTAGTTGTGTACAAGTATACATAGGCTTGAGCTTCCCATCTCTTTTGTTGTCTTTGTACCATCACCACCACCATCCAAGAAAAGGGCACAACAGAAAGTGCCCACCGCTTGCAGTAAACAACTGGGGCTGGGGCTGCTGCTCATTCATGGGATGGCACTTGTTTATTCCTTGGGGGAGTTGGATTAAGTGTGCTTCCACTTCCACCCATCTAAAGCACTGAGTTGTGATGCCCCTTCCCATTAGTCTACTAAATGTACTCGGTATATATCTCATTTCAGGGAAAGAAGGGATAGCAGCATGAAAAAGAGAGAGATGAAAGGGATTCAAAGGACGTGTGTGACTTGTGAGAGAGTTGGAGTGGTAGGGGACCAGAGGTAGCGCCATCGCCATGAGATTTTTGTCAGGGGTGACGGGGTGAGTCAGAATTGTGCCCTTTTTCCATTGCGCGTCGCAGCTGTTCTTGCGTAACATGCCTGCAAATGCAATGCAACTCCACGCCCCTCGCTGCGTACTTGACTACTAGCTGTGGGTGGTGGTGCCCATCACCAGACTACGTCCAGCAGTGGCATGGCCATGACTCAATGGCTCAACAGCAGCACAGCGACCAGTTTGTGCGTGATTTATATTTCCGGTGTCAGAAAGCAGTTCGGGTGGCTGTGCAGTGGTAGCTTTTGCAGTTTTCCTTGCTGCTGCTGCCTGCTGCCGCTCAGCTCTGCACAACATGCCTGCCTGCTCGCTGGCCCTGGCCTCGTGTTGCTGAGTGCTGCTGTTTCTGAATTCTGATGGATGGACGGATGGATGGATGGATGGATGTGGTGGGATGGATCCGATGACCATCGCCTGCCTGATGGGTGATGGTTGCTGCCTTGCTGGTGCGGATGCGCAGCGAGCGCACTGTGCCCGCCGCTGCAGCTGCCATTCCCTTTGGATGGTTGGAAGGGGGACAGAACGGGCCGGTGGGAAAAAGAAAAGAAAAGATGGGAGTTCGTACGCCGAGTCGCCGAGGGCTTTGGCCTTTGGGCAAAAGCCGAGATGAGTTTTGTACAGCCACTGTCCGCACTCTGCAAAGCGAGATTGCCGACTGCGAATCTGCACTGCCAGATCTGAAATTTATTCCTCAAAACAATCGTGTACAAGTACGCTGTAGAGAGCCCAGTGTTCTGTTCTGCAACAGCGACTAGTGTTCGTACTAAAATTATATTGACTCGACCGATTCTCGAGCTCAGCAATCTGCATTTCGGATCCGGGGCAAATGTTCAGGCAATCTGCTGCGACACATGCTGGCTAGTGGCTATGATGTTTGTTTCTAACACCACGTTAGAATACAATTCTCATATTTCGAGGAGTCAAACAGTCTAAATTTTAATTATAGAATATATTTTTAAAATAAGTTTATTTAAAGATCTAAATGTTAGTACTATTTACTATATATTTAGTCAAACTTGAAATACTTTGACCGGCACGATTTTTATAATTACATTCTTTTAGGGACGGAGGTATTAGAATGCTCCTCGCAGATGACGAGCAACTCCCACTACGTGGTATATGATGTGTTCTATGACTATTTCGCCGAGTCACGCACGACAATCAAATCCAGGAGAGAGGATGAAGGAGATGGAACCACCCATGTGCTTCACGAAAGCACGAGATTGGTCATGAAGTGGCAAAAAAAAGACTTTTTGTAATGCATTATAAAAGATCGTAATCCTTGTGTGCCTGGGAAAAATTGGTGATCTTGAGCCACTACTCCAACTTTTTGGTCCTCCATGCCACTTCAAATCGGTTCAGGGCTACTAACGCCGTCAAGCTGCAGTGTGAAAAGAGCAAAATGCCCTTAAGTTCAAATATGTTATTAATTTTTTTGAGCATCTTAACGACTTCAAATGAAAAAATTCAAAACTAGAAAGTTGTAGATCTCGTCGAGATCTATAATTTTCATATAAAAATTATTTTCATTTAATTCCGCAAAAAAAAATGATTTGATATGATTAATATATCTTAGAAAAATCATCATATTTTTTTTATGAATTAAATGAAAATAATTTTTATATGAAAATTATAGATCTCAAGAGATCTACAACTTTCTAGTTTTGAGTTTTTCATTTGAGGTCGTTAAGATGCTAAAAAATTAATAACATATTTGAACTTAAGGGCATTTTTGCTTTTTCACACACTGTAGTTTGACGGCAGTAGAGCCTGAATCGACGGAAGTGGCATGGAGGACCAAAAAGTTGAAGTAGTGGCGCTAAAGACCGCTGAATTTTTTCGTAGAGAGAGGGATTACGATCTTTATATAATGGCATTACAAGTGAAAAGTCTCAAAAAAAAAAAAAAAGGGGAGATAGATTCATTACCAAGCAGCCATGGCCTTTTGTTCGAAGGCTACATGCGGGGTAAAGAGTGGTGTTGGACTTGAACAACAAAAAAGAAGAGAAAAGGCGTGGCCGAAAAAAAGGATCAGGTAAAGTGATTGAATGGCGGTGCATGAACATCAGTTGGAAAAAAAAACAAACTCTGTTTTAACCGGTGGAGCATGTGATCCGAGTACGAGATAAATAAAAGGTAATGTGCACCCTTCAAATTGTCGTTTTAAGACGCATACGAGTTCTCAGGTGGGCATTTCACAAAGATTTGCTGAGTTGCTGCTCCTTGTACATGGGAATAATATGTTCCCATCTACCCACTAACAACTGAGCAACAGCACACCCTGTTCACCTTCCACAATTTTCCAAGTCCATTCCCCATACAAGGATGCAATCAGTCATGTCAGTGGGTGAAATCCGTAAAAGCTACTGTGTATTCATTAGTACAATACTATCTGTAGAATTAGTCCGTCTGAATCATAAATCAAGTATGATGGCTTTAACACGCTTCAGTTTCTCTCAAGAAGCTCAATGAGCAGCTCTACAACAGCTATACCATTCGCTAATCCCCAAGCTTCAAACAACACCTGGGGTATCTACATAGTTGTACTTCTGTAGGATCTAGCACAAAGAGGAAGAAAAGCAACACAGAGCACAGCAGCTGAGGCAACTGGAAGAAGAATCTGTAGCCATCAACCATGTCAAATCCTATGATACAATTTTACCCCTCAGACAAAAATCTAATACCGTACATGAATACCTCCTTAGTTGTCGTCCTATCAGGTTACCACCAAATTATCTGAAAAATCGAGAACATTACAGCAGCAATCAGAGTCGGTATTCTGTAAACTTAATGGTAGCTCACAAGTAAATTGTTCCTTACATCAGCAGTCAGAAAGAGAGAAGTTTCAGCTTTTAATCCTTGTACCAATTTCCATTTGATTTCTCATCCTCAAGCACTTTAAGCTTCTCCTGCAAGAATTAGGAGTGCCTCACATAAGTTTCTCAAAGTCAAGAGGGCAAGATCAAATCTAAAATTCCAAAAGGTGTGCATACAGCTCCCAACCACTGGCATTAAAAAAGGAGAAGTCCTTTTTTTTTTGCCATAGAACTATCATGGAGTTCGGTTTCGTCACTGAACTTGAAAACCAGAAATCTTTAGCCATTCAATTGTGTAAACCAGACATATTTGGCCACCGCACCCCTTTAATGCTGGTTTCACTGGTTTTGACCGCCACGCTGGACAGTCAGCATGCTGACTCAGATTGGGCCCACCCATGAGGCCCTCCTCTCCCTCTGTGCCAATGATTGGTGGGTCCCCCTGCTCATCCCTTATCTCCAGCCGTTCCCCATCTTTCTCTCAGAGCGCTGCCCATGGCCGAGCATCGCCATCCCCGAAAGGCTGACCTCATCCCCTTCGAAAGGCCAACCTCACCATCTCGAGCACTGCCCCCATGACGAGCGCTGGCCATTGTGCGCAGCCATCGCCGAACGCCGCCCCTGCCCAAGGTGGCCTGCGCCATCGCCGAACGGACCACTTGAGCTTGTTCAGCACCGTGCTGTAGTAGTCCAAAGCGGAGGCGGCATGGCCACTCATGCCAGCTCCAGCCATGGCAGTTGGTTGGTGGCTGTGGTGCTGCAGCTTGGCTGCGTGGACATCAGCTCGAACCTGCTGCTACTGCTATTGCACTGCTCTATTTTCCTTCTCGGTCAATAAATCCAAGCAACCAGCTTCTCCTTCAATCGACAACCACTAGCAGTAGCAGCAGCAGCTCCCATCAACTAGCACTCACCTTCCTTTCTCTGCTCCAATCCCTCTTACATGTAGAGATGTATTTTCTGAGGTAAAAAACAAAAGAGAAAGCTTACATGTAGAGATGTATTTTCCGAGGTCAAGCTATCACACTTCTCCTGAAGTTGTTTCAATTCTTCTTTAAGTGAACTATTTTCCTGCTTTAGCAAATCTGCACGATTGGCTACTTCCTCCCATTCAGCCTGTAGTATGCCATAAAAAATATAGAATACATCAAAGGCTCGCATGAAGCAAAGGACATCAAAGTATATGAACAAACGTGGCAGCATCTACCCTTTTAGGTGTCACAGCTCGGAAATAAATAAATAAAATCTGTGGGTCCTGCTATCAGCTATATGCATGAGCTTGGAAACAAATATGCAGCTGTTTTCACAACGTGCCTCAATTGTTTTCTTTAGCCTTATGGAAAATTTATGATATATTATTCCTTGGACTTTATCTACTTTCTATGATCCTGGTTCAACCATCATCTTCTAAGGAAAAAAAAACTGCTGACATATTAGTCCTCAACTAGTCGTATTGTTAGTTGAAATGTTGGTCGTCATCCATGAACGATAACTCATCACTACAGTAGCACCATCTTTATTCTTGACTCTAAGAACATGCGCAGGAACACATGCATGGTCCACATGGTTATGCATATTTAGCAATTATTCTCATCATCTACTGCAGTCAATTCAAGTAGGTTCAACCAGATCCTAATATACTGTGGTTTGAGTTATGTATATATACATATGTTGAGTTCATATTGCGCAGAATTCTACAGGAACTGCATAATGTCATGATCCAATAGACTTTATGACCTTATACAAGAGAATAGGTAAAAGCTGACTAATGTTTCATGTTGGCAAAAGTTATCCTCCTCCGATCCTCCCTTAACTTACCCTACTGTTTTCAACTAGATCCATGAACCATGATACAGATTGACTAGGTATAGATGGGATAACAGGAAGAACCAGCTAGTCACCCTCGCTCTGGAGGCTCTGGCAGCTTCTTTTTTGTTGTTCTTGCTTGATTTCAACTGGTAGTGTGCCTATGCTTTATATCCAACCCCTAACACAAGATGCTAACACACTTAACAAACTAACCAAATGACCTTATCTTCCTTACAAATCTTATCTTAAACCAATTCTAAACCGACTTAGCATAAGTGTCTTGACTGGTTGATGCTGCTGCAAACTGGTGGCCCAAACCCCACACCCATAACTCCCATCAGTAACAAGATGGTCACTCCTAAATAAGCGGTTAGCAGAAATGCAAACTATTCACAAGATATAGGATAAATTATAACATCCCATGATTCTTATTAAACGCTGCAGACATTACAGACCTGCTTGCGCAATCTTGAGCGTCGAGCTGATTCCCTATTTGATTGCTTCCGTTTTTGTCTCTTCAGTTCTCTCCCATCCTATATTAATAGAAAATAACGCTAAGTAAGAAATGCAAGGTAAGTACTAGAACAAAATAAAAACAAGGAGAACCAAATCCTGCACAGTGACAGACCTGTATAGCCGGATCACTGAGAACAATATCACGTGAATTTGATGAAGGAGCTGATGTCGGTGCTGCAATAACTTTACCATGCATGGGTACAGAAGCAGGAGTACCCCAGTAATCCACTCCCATACTCAGAGTAGTTGCTGGGCCAGCCATAGGAGGGGAACAGGCCAAAATGGCATCATAGGGTTAAGCACAACAGGCCCAGAAGATGGTTGTGTGGGCTCAACTGCAGAGCTTTGAGTACCTTTACTCCGAACATCTGGCGGAAAAGAAGGAACATAACTATCGTATCCAATGTTTTGTGCTAAATAAAAACACAAATTTGTTTCTCAGTACCTATTCCCACACGGGGCTAAAAGTAGTTGGTTATAAGTTATATCTATATATAAAGCTTCAAGTCTTACCATTACCTTGACCTTGCTCAGAACCATCCTTCGCCCTTGAACTCTGCAAGCAAATTATTTGTTTATGCCAGTTAGTATGAATTAGCATGATGATGATCATATCCAACATACAAAGGAACAAAAATGGAGGAGGGTAGGATGCATCCTTCTAGTTTGTCCATGAGCTAGCAGGTAAACCATGTTGGAAGCGAGGATAACATAGATACATCCAACTTGTAAGTCACTATAATAACCAAAGAAACGAAATATGAAACAGAAGACTAGATTTGCAAATGGTAAAGTATCTCATGCAACACATGGAACCTGGGCAATTAATGAAACTTAATACAAGGCTACAGATTGGTTCTTTAGAATTTGTTTTGAAAAATGAACTGGATACTCATTACTCAGCATCCTCTTAAAATACCATGTACACAGACAGAACCAGTAGCAAACTGTACCAAATTGCACATCTCATGCACTCGATCTGCATACTGCAGATGCTGCCCAGAGGATTTCAAGATTAGAGCTGAAATTACTCCCACAAACTAGGCTTTCCGTAATGGGGGAGGAGAGTGAAACAGTAACATACTGCTTTGGAATTTGTACTAATAGCATTCTGAAGTCAAATGTTAAGTAATATAACGGAATGACATACACTTTTTGAATTTGTACTGCTTCCTTCAGAAGAACTCCTGCTTCCACTCTCACTGTATAATAGATAGTGGATTCAATAATTTATCTGTTAGTATAACAAAAAAAAAGTAATAAAATTACCTTTGTGAAGAACCTTCATTGGAGGAAGAAGCTGAAGGCTTTGCCGGTGACTTGTTGTTTTTTACTGCAACAACATCCAGACTACCTAAGCTTCCTTTTGATCTTTTCAGGGGAGTCTTCCGCTTATTTTTATTCGATTTATTTGTCTCTGTACCGCCAGCACCAGATGTCTAACAACATAACCCAATCAAAAAAAAAAAATCTTATCTGCTTTGAGGAAACAGATGGCATAAATAGGACTCGAACAAATGAATTCCTAAGTATAAATGACAGAGAACAGTTGAGATGGAAAGCTTTAGAAAGGAATGGGTGAAATTCTGCATGACTGCATCCATTCCATAACAATAAATAGATCAAATAAAAGGTGCCCATTAACTTACTGGAGTTTGAACTGTCCCATTTGGTGACTGCATAGGATAATAAGGACTGTATGGGTGTGAACCCTGAACCAAAAACAAGGACATTTTACTTCATTACTATATCAACCAAGCATTAACACAATATAAGAACATGCTCTAAAGTAAAATGAGGTACATTACCGGTGGCATCGGTGCCTGCTGATATGGTGTGCCTTGTGCATACATTGCTGCATATGGTGGTGGTGTCCCATAAGGAGGCATCATCTATACCAATTAAATAATCAAATGTTAGATGACTGATTATCTCCAGAGCTACAGTGGTTACGGTAGCTGATAGTATCCTTAAAATAAATAAATGCTAGCAAACCCTATGAACAAAGTGTTAAAAAATCTGCCAAACTCGTACCTTGTACTACAGTTAACAGACAGATTCATCCTAACATCTACTCACAAAACCTCATGATTGCAGACTTACACTAGCTACTAGACTTATTCTTGCAAAATGGTTGAGAAGAGAGAATATACCTGTGGACCCCACATATATGGGTGCCCCTGAGGGCTTGGAGCTACAGATGAATGAAAAAAAGCCGGTGGGGTCACAGGAGCTGTCCCAGCAGCATTATAGTATGCCTACAGATTTATATTAACAGTTACACAAATAAATCTACTAGATCAATAAAAAAGCAATACAGCACAATTCCATTTTACACACCTGGAACTGAGACCAATCAGGATATGCTGTGGGGGGGTTAGTAGGTGTACTCTGCTCATTCTGAAATAAGAAAGATAAGGTAAGAGGGTGCCAGTAGTTACTCTTGTAGTTCCAGATTAACCATACAAACCTGTATTGCTGACGATTTTTGAGATTTGGACCTAGTAGCCACATCTCCCTTTCCCATTGTTTATTTCTCTCCTCTATCCTTATGTTCCTTTTGCCTTTATTCTCTTGTCCCAAAAGGACAGAGCTTTCACTTCGAAGCAAAAGGCAACATCTTAGGGTCGATGGACATAAGCAACAAAAACAAACTCCATCAAAAAGATTCAGTTAATTAGAACCCCAAGGGTCTCGAATTTGCCATTTCTTTGAGTAATGATTGAAAAATAGTGAAGAATCACAAACTGGAGAACACATGACGCTGAGAATATGAAGGATCAAACACTCACCATGTTCCGTGTCCAATCTGGATATGACCCGAAAATTTGTTCCTTCAACAAAAACGTGGCAATAGCTTCTAACTCTGCAACTTCTACAGGGATAGAGCCTGTGAAGGCATTGAAGGACAGATTCAGTGCCTAACCTGCGGGAAAAAGTGAATGACAGATTCAGTGTCTAACCATAACAAAATGATAAATCCTAAATTTTAAAACCTTTATAAGAGAAGCTTGTACTCAACCATTAAGAACAACAATAATGGTTTAGGAGGCAGATAGCCAGATATAATGGGCAAAAGGGAAAGACCTATGGTAGCCTTTTTTATGATTAATAGTTCACCTAATTCCATCAAATGTGACTTGACACAAATACACCAGTAGCTATTCTACAAGTATTTTTAGACGCTACGTTTTTGGAAGCTAACATCTGGGAAATGGAAACAAGGGGCCTTGTCTTTCGATGTATTGAACTACAGGAAAGTCAAGAAAGCAATAACAATCATTTTGATTCACCCTCCATATGTGTTCCAACATTGAAAGAAAAGCTTTGTTTGCTACGTCAAGATACCATCATGCTTAATTGCTATGGGTGTATCGATGCTTTGTGTCGCGGGTGTGCAACCATGCAAGGCATTGGGTAAAGAAATTAAAACTCCATCTTGTAGTAGCAAGCAAAACAAATCCGTAAAGGTCTCACGTTCCTTTTCACGATAATTTCATCTCCAGTTGTATTTTTTTGAGAACTTATACGAAATCAACTATAGTTTTATAGTGTAAGAAACATTATTTGGCAGGCAAACATGTCGAAACATGATGGAACAACTATTCTAGGAGGAAGATGACTTTTCATCATCACTGAAAAAAAGGGATTCAGAAGTACATCAAAGTTCCCAGTGACCAAGAAACAAAGCGAAACTATCAAGAGAAACAAAGAACATTGCTTGGTAAAGGAACCAGTGGAGTCTCCAAGCAGTCTTGAACGATGCACGATTTACTTATTTACTAGCTATCTAGAGCAAAAAAGGAAAGGAAGAGTGTAGAATGTATTAATGACTTTTGCTCAAAAAATGAAGGAAATAAATTTGTATTGTTCTGTGCAACTAGCTTACAGCAGGGGGGGATCTGGGTTCATGAAAGGTATGCATATATGGACCACAAGGATCCAATCAGATAGCAGCATAATAAGCATATCACTTTTATTGTTATGTGATCGTTAGCTTGCTACTGCTGTCAAATGTTTTATATTGACAGGGTGTTTCACAAGGAACCACATGTCTAAGTCTGATGCATTTGAACTTATAAGTCTGGAGTGCTGGGGGTATATCACGACCATCACCATATTGAACTTTAAGAGCATAAGTAATCAGACATTTTGGTAATATATTAACCAGACTCCTACTTAATTTCAAATTTCCAATAAATGGCAAGGAAATACAGGTACAGTCAAAGGTTATTCTAGCCAACAATTTACATATCTAGCACACCAAGCAAGCTATGTTTAGAATATAGTGTTTATCATTAGCACACCCAATGATGCTTTTGCTGCTGACTTCTATTATTCTATAGCCCAAAAGGAAAACAAAATGCTGTACGCATGATCCAACCAGGGCAAGGGGAACATTTATGGTGCTTGCATACAAAACAAGGTATTTAAATCTCAGGTCAAATCTCAGAACCCTATGACTCTACAGAGCCCTGTCAAGTTCTGAGCAGAGAGGTATCACGATCCTAGTTGTACATTGCCTTAAATTCAAACTTTATCTGGATTCCAATTTGATTTGATCCATTCTAGCCAATGCATATAATTTATCTTCTAAAAGTCACGCCTTTTCCCTTTCACTTATAAATGCTAATTCTAGATATTCATATTCATGTATGGAAATCAACTGCGGAGTTGCAAGTTCTTCTGCATGAGATGTCTTTCTTGTCCAATAAGGGTGCAGCAACAAATTTTTTATCTTATATTTATATAAAATGTTTTTAAAGCATATAAAATAATACATATTCATCTCATAATGTTATAGGATCCACAATGACTATCTGATAGAATAGTTCGACTCTGCAAGACAAGGTTGATCTTTTTAAACACTAGACAGGTGCCATGCACATACCACAGTACATGAATAAGGGAGGTCTGTCTTGGACAAAAAGAGTTCCGTAGGTAAGGAGTGAATGCATCTTTGACATCTCTCATGAGATGGCAAGAAATAATACCTCATGAAAACCCGTGCTTAAAAAAACAAACCTCAACCCTGGGGAACAGCCTCCCCAAGGCATTATTATGATTAAGAAGCCTCAACCACAAGGGCCGAGAAAAAACCCCGATCCCCTGCTTAAACCGACAGCAAGTAGATATATTTGAGTTACTTATTCGCCTATCGACTATATATATCAGTATGCCAACAAGAATGGAGGCATTTCTTCTTGGCAGGAGCATAGGAGCCCTTAGCTCATAACCTGCCTCTGTTCCAGGCAGGAGGTGGAGGCATTTATTTACTTTAAAAGTATTGTTATTTTTGTAAATAAGTACAATTTATATTATTAGCATGGATTCCAATGGAATGCAACCTGGACCAATAGCTTCCTTAGTAGTATGTTGGCTAAACTGACATGATCTAAATACTTCAGTGCATTGTGCGTACTGACAACCGGTTTAAAATGTTTGATTACAGGCACTCTATGTTACCATCTGCTAACTCCGTTCCAAATTATAGTTCGTTTGACTTTTTTTATCCCAAGTTTGACCACTTGTCTTATTCAAAAATTTGTGCAAAATATCACTTCTTTTGTTGTGGCTTGTTTTATTAACAAAAGTTCTTCAAGAATGACTTAAATTTGACTATATTTGCACAAATTTTTTGAATAAGACGAGTGGTCAAACTTGGTGTCAAAAAAGCCAAACGAATTATAATTTTGAACGGAGGGAGTATTTTGAAACAGGAAAATTGTAGGTTTAGTAAAGTTCTCGTTTCTCAGACATAACTATAGCCACCTTGACTCCTTACAAAAAGGATTGACAGGGGAAAATCATAGACACAGGCTCGATGTGAACTAGCAAACTTAAGCAGTTAAGCTGTTAGTTATTTCTCCCAAGCTAGCATATTTAATTGGTAGTACTGTAGTGGCAACCTTTCCTCGGGTGATGTAACACTAACAACATTGGGACACATACCCATCTCTCAAAAAGTCAAAGGAGCAACACAGAAACGGAAAATCCACGAATTCTCACTGAAGTTCTACACTACAATCCACAAAGTTCTCATGAAAACCAAACAGATCTATCTAAAACCCCCTGTGACTCTGATCAGGAGCAGGAGGTTCAGTTAACACCCAAACGGTTCGGAATTCATACTACACCTGCACGATAATTGGCCTATGGCGTCGACTAATGTCGATCTAGGTGCGCTGAAGAAGAACCAAATTGTACCAAGGTCCACGGGTGGATAAATTGAATCAGTGGGGGCACCGCGGCAGCACACAAATCCACGACTAACTCAATGGGGGAGGAGGAAGGATTTGGATTTGATTTGAGAACAAACCAACTCTTTGCAGATGGAATTCCGTTCAAGCAAAGCTAGGATTACTTACCAGCAGAAGAAGAGACCAATCCACGTGGTGATGGATCTCCACTCCACGCCAGCCCGGCAGAGAGGAGGAAGACGAGTCGGATTCCTCCGGCGTGTTCGGCAGAGGGAGGAGTCGACGAGGGGGGTTGGGGCGGAGGCGGCGCAGGATTTGGGAATTCGGGGCGCAGGTGTCGAGCGCTGATGTGAATGGAGAGGAAATGGTGTGAGCACTCCCTACTCCCCCAATCACAACGCCGGGTCGGACAGACAACGGAGGCAGAGGCGGAGGCAGAGGCAGAGCGTGGTTTTCCTGTTTTTCCTTTTATTTTCACAAATCGGACAGCAAATAGCCCTAGCAATGCCCAACTTTGTGACCTTATTTTAAGAAAAGCTTTTATTACGACCAACTTGAAGTTTTCTAGATATATTTATTTTCTCTAGTGCTATTAGCTCTAGTCATTTAAACACTTCTATCATATATAAAAATATATAATATTTATTTATCACAAAAGACTCAGTCATGTTGCAAAGCCAATCCATCTATAAAAAAAATAGAAAATTTGTTAAAAAAACACTGATAATAAGTCATAGGGGTTTCAAATACACAGCAATATCTATTTCCTTAAAGTGTAAGACCTTGTTTCTCAGGGATCTGGTTTCTTATCTTAGAGAAAATATTCTAGATTTTAAGAGTTGAAAAACTCAATTTGTGGGTGGGCTTCTTTTAGAAATTGATAATTCTTTTAGTCCTATCTCTGAATATGAGAATTTGCTCGATATGGATTTCCAGTTTATCTTCACAACTATACGTATGGGATAGTTTATTATTGCTTCTAGCAATAAACCTAGTCTTTCAAATCCTTCATGTGCTCCTTGACCGAACACAAATATTATATACCATTCAATGCCATCGAATTTATCTTGCATACCATAAAGATGTTCTAAAGGTGGTCTATACCCTACATTGTGCTAAGCTTACCTCAATAGGATAATTATAGAGAACGATGGCATCTAAATTCAAGGAAATAACGTTAGTCTACATGTTGTACATGCCAAACTACAAGCAAACTCTTTGGAAAGCTTATCAAGGACAAGGCACATCAACCTTAAAACTATAAGGCAACTACATCGGTTGGTCAGATTACCAAAGGGCTATTAAACACACAAAACTTGTAGGTGTT